CATTGTCTTTGTACTTAGCAGAATTCAGCCAGCTCATCTGTGTCACTTCACTCAGTTAGGAGCCTTCCTAAGCAAATTTCACTTGACTTGCACTTGTTGATCTATTACTGCCCTAATAAGAGGCAGCAGAAGCACTCCCCCTAGTGGTGGGAGTTTTTATTAGGCAAAACAAAATTAAAACAATTCTTACAGAATTTTGTTTTCTTGTCTGTAATGTAGATGTGAAAACAGGGAAGATGAGGGACTATCAGGTCCGTGGTCTGAACTGGCTCATTTCTTTGTACGAGAATGGAATCAATGGTATCCTCGCCGATGAAATGGTCAGCACTTTTTCACGTTTCTACTTATTCATGGAGTTAAATTACAGATATTTTTATCGTGTCATAATGTTTTGTTTTGTTTTTTTTTCTTCATTCATGTTTTCTTTTCTTATTGTCAGGGATTGGGTAAGACTCTCCAAACTATTGCACTGCTGGGCTATATGAAGCACTACAGAAACATCCCTGGTCCTCACATGGTGCTGGTTCCCAAGTCCACCCTCTACAACTGGATGAATGAGTTCAAGAGATGGGTGCCTTCCCTTCGTGCTGTCTGCCTGATCGGAGACAGAGATGAGCGGGTAAGCTGTGTCAAAAATGTATCAATGGTGTGAAAATCAAAGCATTTTTTTCAGATGCTTTGGTTGTCCTTCACCAGTTCTATTTGGTGGACTCCATATTGGTGGGTTTTTTTTGTTTTTGTTTTTTTTTGACTCCCACAGGCATTTAAAAAAGTTTTAAAAGGTGCAATCTAAACAATAAGGCCTCAATTGTTGTTTAATGTCTTAATTCAGTCTTTAAAAAGTCCTTATGCCATACGTTGTGGGAGGTAGGCTCTTAGTAGTTGGTTTTTATGACTGCAATTTAGATTGCTAAAATAACAGGTAATAACATCTATTTTTGAATAATAATTTGTTGTTTGTGACACAGGAAACGATTGTGTAACCGACAACACTCATGTATTGTTCTGGTTTAAAATTATTATTTTTTTATGTATTGTAGACACATATTTATGAGATTAATCTGTAGAACTCTGGTGGTAAAAACAGTTTTCTGCTTCAATGACAGACTGCCCTGATCCGAGATGTGCTGCTGCCTGGAGAGTGGGATGTGTGCGTGACATCCTACGAGATGCTCATCATTGAAAAGGCGGTGTTCAAAAAATTCAACTGGAGATACCTGGTCATTGATGAGGCTCACAGGATCAAGAACGAGAAGTCAAAGGTCAGACAGCTGCTGAAACAAAATAGTTACACATGTCAGCCACCTAACCTTTAGTACTGTGAGATGGTCAGATCGCTAAGGTTTTCTTTGCTTCTCCATAGTTATCAGAAATTGTGCGTGAATTTAAGACCACCAATCGTTTGCTGTTGACTGGAACACCCCTGCAAAACAACCTCCATGAGCTGTGGGCTCTCCTGAACTTCCTGCTGCCTGATGTCTTCAACTCATCAGAAGTAGGATTTCTATAGAAAACCACAAAATCAGTAGTTTATAGAAGAAGTCTTGAAAACGCTTTAGAGAAGAGGTGTTTCTGTATTAAGATGCCAATTTAATTTCTCTTCTTTTTTCTCAGGACTTTGATTCCTGGTTTGACACAAATAACTGCCTGGGTGATCAAAAGTTGGTTGAACGTCTTCACACTGTATGTATTTAATGCGACTATCCAGCACGCTGCTGTACGTTGTAAGGTGTGTTATATTTCAGTTGGGTTAATGCGCTCCCTGCGTGTAGGTGCTGCGTCCTTTCTTGCTTCGTCGTATCAAAGCAGACGTGGAGAAAACTCTGCTCCCCAAGAAGGAGATCAAGATTTACGTTGGCCTGAGTAAGATGCAGCGGGAGTGGTAAGCATCCCCAGTTAAAATGGACTTGCTATAAAACAAGACCTGAGCTGTTTTTGTGTTTTTCCCCTGCTGTATTTGTGGATGCTGAACCTAAGTTGTTGTGTGCTACTACCCGTCAGGTACACAAAGATTCTGATGAAGGACATCGACATTCTGAACTCGGCGGGTAAAATGGA